AATATTTATGCGAATAGAATATTCGCCATTATGGCACCAATCTTGTCAATTTTTACGATCAATTATGCTAGTCGCGAAGAACGCAGCATATTGAAAGAAAATAACAACAAGTTTTAGTTTAAAAAAATACTTTCATACAAATGCAGCGACATCTTCCAATTTAACTATACAAAAGAATGTTTCTTTTTTTTATATTTCTTCTTTTTATATAAAAACAGAAATAAGAAAAGTAAAAACCAGTTCAACTAGCTAGATAAATTAGTACGGCAATCATAGACATACAATTATTATATACACACCATTATTTTATATTGGTAAAGATGACTATGTTCGCATGTACGTATTTATATGCATTATATATATACATGTGTGCGAACAAATATATCAATGTATGACATATTGAATAGTCCATTCCCGATAATGAACTAAATGAAATCAAATCAACTTTATAAAAAACGAACTTTTGTACTTATAATGGGTATTTTCAATTACAATAACTGTGTACCTCTTATTATTCACTAAGAAGTATAATAATATAAAAACTGTATTAAAAGTAATTGTCGATTTTTTAATATATAAAAAAAAATGTGAAAATCACTAATATGGAGAGAGAACGAGAGAGTTAAAAAAAAAGGGAAAATTCCTTACAATGAAAAATATCAAATTATCGGACAATTTTTAACAGCAATGATACAAAAGAAATTCTCATATACTCACATACTTGTATGCTGGCGGCGAAACAAAAAAAATAAAGACAATAAAAAGCGGAATAAATTGCATTAAAGCGTGTGCAGAAATTTCAAAGTTTTTCCTTAACTTCTCTTTTCATTTACAATTTTTCTAGCTTTTCTTTTTTGTACTCGAATTAAAAGTCGACATGTTACACTACGTTTTTTAAACATTAACAATAAAAAAAAATTTATAGCAATTATTTTGCAAATTAAAAAAAAAACTTTCACTGAAAATAAAAACCATATCTATTTATATTGGAGGTTTTCCTAGAAACTCACTAACACTTTTCACGAATTTATTGCAAAATTTTTTGTTTTGATTTAAATTATAAGATCTGTTCTATTATTGAACAGATACTAAGAATATTATTGTTCAAATATTTCAACATTTATATTGAAAAAGTTATCAATACAAAAATGTTAGTGCACCCGTAAATATGCAATTTTTATTCATTATTATTGCTGTGCTCTTTAACATTTTAATATTTTTATAATGAAACTATCAAACGTTTTTTATAATATTATATTGGCCGATCTGATGTTTCTTCGTCGGTTTGACATCGAAGCTGTCATAGAAGTTATAACTTTGCCCTGCCTTATTGGCAAACACACCATGAGGATGGGTTACCTCGGTAACGAACTCTGCAAGAGCTGCTGTGACGAAGCAGAGTTCGTTACCGAGGCGGTGGCTTATTTTCTGTGCTCATGCTCAGCTTTAGCACATGGAAGATGAAGGTTTTCTAAATGGATCTAAAGCAGTTTATAAAGAACTTGGACTAGTTTACGAAACGGTGCGGATACGAGGATACAACAGAATCACAACGGGCCGAATTAGCCTAACATAAGAATTAGCGTTAACCTAAGGACTATAAGATAATATTTTCCATAATTATTTATGAATATAAATATACATACACATGCAAGTATACAAGAATTGAGGTTAAGAAAAAAATTCTATTTCTTAACTTAATTTCTTATACTCTTGTTTTTTTTTAGAAAAGTTCTAAATATATATAAAAAAAAAAGACTAAATCAAAGTCCAAATTAAGAAGTAACTAAAAGCAAATCGAATTTAATAGATAATATCCCCGGAAAGTTTTTTTTTTACATTTATTTTTTACAGCTATACAGATTTTATTTGTTAACTTATAAAAGTGGTAGGTTGGTAATTATTTTATCATTAACTTTATTCATTTTATTACTTTTTTTTTGCTTTTTTATTGTTTTACAAAGAAATCATATTCATACATATCTACTTTTTCTCCTACACCCCGCATATCGAAAAAATTTTTAATATTCGTAACCAAAAATGGTAAAAAAAAACTCAACCAACCATTATAACATTAAAGCTTATGAGATTAAGAAGAATAAAAAAAAAATTTACAATAGTTCAACTTTCGCATTTTACGGCAGCGAAAAACTTGGTTATGATTAAGATATCGTTTATTACATATGTATATGTCATAAACGTGTACAGTATACAGTGTGTATGTAAAGCACATGCCTGATTCTATATAGAGTGGTCGTATAGAGTGGTCGTATAGAGTTAGAAAATTTTAAAATCGAAATTATTTGTATTCTTCATGCAATAAAAAAATATCTTCAAAATTTGATTTTTTAGCTAGATGGTCGAAATGTGCATAAAAGTGATTCAAAATTAGATCCTTTTGAATAGAACACCTGAAATGTAGTCATGATCAACTTGAATTTCTACTCAAAATTAAATGGAAATAAATTAATAAATTGAAAATTTACAATTGTTTCTGTTAAAATCTGGAGGCTCTTAAACTATTACTAGACTTAACAAGCTATTTTTAAAGTAATAAAGATAAAAACTACAGTAAATCTACTACTTAAAAAAAAATTAGCAACACTAAAAATAAAAATTATAATAAGAAAATATTAGAGTCGTATGTCGGCGCTTTCCTTATTATATTGATTCTAGTGAATTTATATTATATACCCATATATATAAATACATATATATGTATGTTTGTATATAGATTATTGAAATTTTAAATGAATATAACTATGTAGTGTAAAACTAATAAGAAATACTCGTATATTATTAATCATCGACAATGATTTTTTATTCCAATGTTACTAAATACGGAAATCTTTAATATTTTAAAAAATCAGCTGTTTTGCAATTTTATTAAAAGTATATAATATTATAATTAATAGTTGAACATCATCACAGAAAACTTTTATATTAATAATATAGAAATCGTGACAAATTCTATGAAAAAGAAAAAAAAATAAGATTTTTTTTTTCATTTTACGTATATTTTTTATAGAGAATAAAAATATTATTGGAATTATAGTTATAAGCATAATGTAATCAATTTAATAATCATTATAGTTGTAGCTTGGATATTTATACATACACATGTACATGAGTAATATGTAATTAATTTAAAATTGTAATCGGCTTAAGACAATTTTTTTTTTCAATTACAAATATTTTCTAGTTGAGGATAGTTATTGTTCTTTTATTTCAATAATATTTTGTGTAGCTGAAATAATTTGATGTAAAAAATCTAATTTTTCACAAGCAATCAACGAAAATTTTTACTATACTAAAACCCAAACTTCTGTTTCGGTTGAACATAAAACGTTGAAAAAGTTGAAGTAATTGCAATAAAATTTATTAACCAACTAACGTGTGTTGATTAATAATTTTCTACAGAGTAGTAGATTATTTATGTAAACTTCCTTTAATACAAAATTACAATTTGTCTTAAATTTTTTAAGAAATATAATTATAAACAGCCTTGCCACCTTGTATAAGATCTCGTAGATTAAACATTAAAATAATTTAACATATAAATTTCTTCCTAAAAAATCCAGGAAAGAACCAAACATAATAAATTCTACGGAACACAGTTTTAGAAATTCAAAATCATCTTATTTTAAAATATTACGTAAAGATCAAAGTATACGATGTACATAAATATTTCGAATTAATTTAATTAATAACATTGTAAAATTTTTAACCTGATTTCTTAAACAAGAATTTTAATTACATTTAAATTTAGCATTGAATTTGTTTTTTTTTTTGTTTTATTTATTTTCTATTAATTTGTTTAATGATTTCTCTTTAAAATTCATTATGAACGTAATAAACAAAAAAAAAAGAAAAAAATTTAATATGATTTCGAAACCTACGCGAAATATTTTAAGATGGCGCCAAATAGTTTTAAACTATATATTTTTTAAAAACAGGATCTATTTAAGTTTTCTCAAAAAGAGAGGAAAAAAAAATATTAGAAAAACGTGTTTTAATAATTTTTGCAGAAAATTAAAAAGAAACCAAAAAAAAAAATATTTTATTCAAATTTAATTATTTAAATTTTAATATCGTTTCAAATTATTTCAATAAAATCATTAATATTCATTTAAATTATATTTTTTTTCTGGTTATAAATTAAATTTGTTGAAGAAGTTTTAAAATAATATATTGAACTATTTAAAATGTAGGTTAGTTTAAGAGAAAAATGGCAATATTACATTTTGAATAATTGTAGAGGGTTAGTAAAATAATTCAGCTCTCCTTTCGAATATAATCATTTATTAAGATATTTATATATGTACAGGATGATTCATAAACCTCTGTAGCTCCGATACGGTTCGGATTTGACCCCATGTTCGGAACAAAAGTTTTACTTACTCTCGACCATCCGCCCGTTGGTATATGGCTCCTAATTTGCTTCTGAATCACTCAATATAAATTAAAATTATCACCCTGTTTAAAAATCAAATTTGAAATAATCTACCAAAGTAAATTTATATATTCATGTGTACAATCGTAATAGGGTTACTTTAATTCAATTTAGCTACAATATTGGAGAAATTCAATAAACATTTGTGAAGAAACTACAAGATCTAATATTGAAAAACTTACAACCAATTTAGGCGACGTCTGACTCACACCATTAACTTTAAATTATTAAGAAAATTATTACACTTATTAAATGTATTATATAGCTCACGCCTCATCACGACAATTTTTTATTAATTAATTACGACAAATTCATAATTTTCTTATACAATTAGTGTAAGCTGATTTGGATTAATGACAAAATTATTTTTTAGTTACACATTTTCTTATATTATTATCTAAAACTACTTTAAACTAATTACTTTTACTTTTTATAACAAATATTTAAAATACATACATTTATGGTATATAAATTATATAAGACTACTCATGCATAAGCAATCTATTAATACAACTGAACTAATTTATTTTTATTTTGTTCGTTACAGTTTGCATTGGAACAAAAAGTCGCCTGTCAGTGCCATCAAATCGGGTTCACCATTATAGAAATTTACGGGACCGTTATAATAATTGTACCTATGTAGATGGCAATTTAGAATTAACATGGTTACAGGATGAAAATTTAGATTTAAGTTTTTTGGAGCACATACGTGAAGTAACTGGTTACATTTTGTTTAGTCATGTCGATATTAAGAGAGTTGTTTTGCCAAGGTATATTTTTATCTATTTCCAAATTTAATAATTTTAATAAAAATTTTTTTCTTTTTCAATTTTAGACTTCAAATTATTCGAGGTAGAACGTTATTTAAACTAAATGTACCAGAGAAACAATATGCTTTGTTTGTGGCATACTCTAAAATGTTTACTCTTGAATTACCAGCATTACGAGATATTTTGTCAGGATCAGTTGGTTTTGTCGACAATTTCAATTTGTGTCATATCAAGTCTATTAACTGGAAGGAAATAATATCAGGTAAATCAAACATTTTTTTTTATTTTAATTACATGTATTAAAATTCATTTTAACCACTTATGTAATTTTTTAATTAGATCCACAAGGAAATTATGCTTGGGCATATAATTTTTCTTCAGCGGAACGTACATGTCCACCCTGTGATAAAAGTTGTGATGGTGGATGTTGGGGAACTGGACCACAAAATTGCCAAAAATTCAGTAAAGTAAATTGTTCACCACAATGTTCGGGAGGACGTTGTTTTGGACCAAGACCACGAGAATGTTGTCATTTATTTTGTGCGGGTGGTTGTACTGGACCAACACAAAATCAATGTATAGCATGTAAAAACTTTTACGATGATGGTGTTTGTAAACAAGAATGCCCACCAATGCAAAAATATAATCCAACAAATTATTTATGGGAAGCAAATCCAGAAGGAAAATATGCATATGGAGCTACATGTGTTAAGAATTGTCCGGAACATTTATTAAAAGATCAAGGCGCCTGTGTAAGAACATGTCCAGCAGACAAAACAGCTAAAAATAGCGAATGTGTACCTTGTAATGGGCCATGCCCAAAAACATGTCCCGGAGTTTCTGTTTTAAATTCTGGAAATATCGATGATTTTAGAGGATGTACTATAATTGAAGGATCATTAAGAATATTGGATCAAACATTTGATGGTTATTCAGAGGTATTCAAAAATTATTCTCTGGGACCGTGGTATATGAAATTGCATCCAGATCGTTTGGAAGTATTTTCTACTGTAAAAGAGATTACTGGATATTTGGACATACAAGGCTTTCATCCAGATTTTACAAATTTGTCATATTTTCGAAATTTAGAGGTGATACATGGTCGTCAACTTATGGAAAACTATTTTGCTTCGTTCACAATTGTCAAAACTAATTTAAAATCATTGGAGTTGAAATCTTTAAAGAGAATCAATTCAGGATCCGTTGTAATACAACAAAATAAATATTTGTGTTATGTTAACAAAATTGCATGGGCAAATGTTTTAAAAAGTAAAGATCCAAATGTAGTTATTGAAAAAAATCGTGGTAGTACTGAATGCGGTAAGTTTTCAAACTATTTTAAAACACATAATGTTATTACCGAGTTCTAATTTCTTTATTATGTTGTTCGATTTTACTTTAGAACAAGAAAACAGTGTTTGCCACCCGGAATGTAATAGTGCAGGATGTTGGGGATCTGCTGCAGATCAATGTCTGGAATGTAAACATTTCAATTTTAATAGGACTTGTTATGCAGATTGTACAAATGTGACAAAGTAATTGTTTTTATCTTCATTAATTTTAGTAAATTTTAATATATTCCCGTTTAATTTTAGTGCGTATCAGTATGATAACAAAACTTGTAAAAGTTGTCACCCAGAATGTATCTCTTGCACAGGACCAGGACCAGACAAATGCATAGAATGTGTTAACTTCCGTGACGGCAATAAATGTGTTACTGAATGCCCGTTTGATAAGTACAATGAAAATGGTATTTGCCAACCGTGTCATCCAAATTGTGAAGAAGGCTGCACAGGACCAAATAACACAATTGGAAGAGGAGCATGTAATTCCTGTGATAAAGCTGTTATGTCTGATGACAATATCTATGATAGATGTTTGCACAAAAATGAAAGCTGTCCAAATGGTTATTATTACCAATATGTTCTGCCGAATGAACAGGGTTATTTGAAACCACTAGGTGGTAAAGCAATTTGTCGAAAATGCCACCCTCGCTGTGAAATTTGCACTGGTTATGGTTTCCACAGACAAATTTGTCAGAAATGCATTGGGTACAAATTCGGGGAACAGTGTGAAGACGAATGTGCTCCTCATTTATATGCAGATGAAGAAAAAAGAGAATGTTTCCAGTGCCATCCGCAATGTAAAGGTTGCTTTGGACCTGGTGAAAATAACTGTAAATCATGCAAAAATTTCAAAGTCTTTGCTGAAGGATCTAACATTTATGATAATACAACTCTGTTCAATTGTACAGAAAAATGTCCCCAGGAATATCCGTATAAAAATTTTGAAGATATAGGACCTTTCTGTTCTGCAGAACCTGCAAGGGGATCAAAATTAAGTGCCGGCTCCGATACCCCTGTATTTTTAATTTCAGCTTGTGTTGTCTTATTCCTCGTTTTTTGTGCACTAGCGGTTGTTGCTTATTCTTGTCGACAAAAAACTAAAGCCAAAAAAGAAGCTGTTAAGATGACAATGGTTTTGGCTGGTTGTGAAGATTCCGAACCATTAAGACCTTCGAATGTCGCACCGAACTTAAATAAATTAAGAATTGTTAAAGAAGCAGAATTGAGAAAAGGTGGTATATTAGGAATGGGAGCATTCGGCAGAGTATATAAAGGTGTTTGGGTACCAGAAAACGAAAATGTTAAAGTACCTGTTGCTATTAAAGAGTTATTAAAGTGTTCCGGTGTAGAATCAAGCAAAGAGTTTCTTGATGAAGCTTATGTTATGGCTTCAGTGGAACACCCCAATTTACTCAAACTTCTGGCAGTATGCATGACTTCACAAATGATGTTAATAACACAGTTAATGCCGCTAGGTTGCCTTTTAGACTATGTTCGTAATAATAAGGACAAGATCGGATCAAAAGCTTTATTAAATTGGTCAACCCAAATAGCAAGGGGAATGGCTTATTTAGAAGAACGTCATTTTGTTCATCGAGATTTGGCTGCTCGAAATGTACTTGTACAAACACCTTCTTGTGTTAAAATTACTGATTTCGGTTTAGCCAAATTGTTAAACAGTGACAACGAATATAAAGCAGCTGGTGGTAAAATGCCAATCAAATGGTTAGCTTTAGAATGTATTCGTCATAGAATTTTCACAAGTAAATCGGACGTATGGGCATATGGAGTCACAATTTGGGAACTTTTAACTTATGGTACTCGTCCACATGATACAATTCCAGCTAAAGACATTCCAGATTTGATCGAAGTCGGTTTAAAATTAGAACAACCCGAAATTTGTTCATTGGATATTTATTGTACACTATTATCATGTTGGCATTTAGATGCTGAAATGCGTCCAACATTTAAACAATTAGTTAATGCTTTTGCGGAATTCGCAAGAGATCCTGGCCGATATTTAGTTATACCAGGCGATAAATTTACAAGACTGCCCTCCTATACAAGTCAAGATGAGAAAGACTTAATTAGAAAATTAGCACCAACATTAGATGGGCCCGAACCAATTGTCGAAGCTGAAGATTATTTCCGATCACCACCGAAATCGTCAAGTGGTATTGGAACAATGGGAACAATAAATGGTCGCCCAGGACCAAGTAGTGCTAATGAACAGTTAGCAATCGGTGATGATGGTATGCCAAAGATAATCCGTTATTGCAAAGATCCTATGAATAAAACATCATCAGGAGATGATGAAACTGATTCAAATGCACGTGAAGTTGGTGTTGGAAATTTACGTTTAGATTTGCCTGTTGACGAAGATGATTATTTAATGCCAACATGTCAGAATAATAATACAGCACCAAGTGGATATATGGATTTAATTGGTGTTCCAGCAAGCGTTGATAATCCTGAGTACCTGATGAATGGTGTTAATTCAGCTAACATTAATAAAAATAATGGTAGTTCAAATAATATTATTTGCAGTAGTAGTAATAGTGGTGGTAGTACTAGTACATTACCAGCAGCAATAGATCGTATTACAACTGGAATTCCTGCCATAACATCAACTCCAGTAACATCTGCATTTAATTCTTTAAAATATAATAACACAGATACATCAGTACCAACACAAACAATTGGTATACCAGTTGTTATAACAAGTAATAGTAGACCAACATCAACAGCAACTGTTAGTTTATCAAGTAGTAGTAATTCATCGAATAATACCCAAGGAACTGAAGGTGAATTAACAAGCTCTGATCATGAATATTATAATGATTTACAAAGAGAACTTCAACCATTACATAAAAGTGAAACGACTGTATAATAAGAAATCCATATAGAATATTAATATACATATATATATATATCATATATATAAATACTAATTGATATAGGAGATAATAATTTTTAAATTATATATTAAATAATAAAAAAAAAAGGAAAAATTAAACTTGCCATGAAATATACAAAAAAAAAAAAAAAAAAAACAAAAATGTGAAATAAAACTTAATCACGAAATTAATATTGAACTAATGAAGGAATTCTTAAAAATAAAATTAAATTAATTTTAATTAGGAAAGACTCATTTAATTAAGTTTTTAATCTTAATTTATAATAAATTGTAAATTTATGTTTTTGTTTTCATTATGTTTTTTTTTTCGTTGCCATTTTTCATAAAGAAATATTAAAATAAAATTTTAACTGGTAGAGCTTTACTTTAATGTTTTTTTTTTTGAGAATTTCCATAAATTTCAGTAACAAAATTTTGTAAACGAAAAACACAATTTTTTAACACAAAATTCAAATATTTTAAATTTAAAATCATTTTACATCTTTTAAGAGTTGATACTTTAAAATTTCATGAAATCAAAGCTCTTCCAATTTTTAAAAAATTAGTAAAACATTTTAAATTTATTAAAATAATTACTAATTAATTTAAAAATTAAATTTAAACTAGCAAAATTAATCAAAAATAAAACAAGAAAAACTTATAAAAATTAGTGTTTTATATTAATAATATAAATACAATAAAATATTTTATAAAAATTTATAATTTTATAAAATTAAAAATTTTTTTTTTTCAATGATGCCTGTTAATTATTATTGATTATAAAATAAATTATTTAAAAAATTATTTAAATTTTCTAAATATTACACAATATAGAGCTATATAAATAAAATGATAAAAAATTTTCTAAACATTAAAACAAAAATCTAAAATTAAAAAAAAAAAATTAATGAAATAAGTAATAATAACAATATTAATAATAATAATAATTATAGATTAAGAGAAAATTATTTAGCAATGTAACTGATAATCTGTGATAGTTTGACTTAAGAACGAAATTTTTTATATCAAAAATAATTTTCCTTAAAAATCGATTAATGAAAAAAATGAAAAAAAAAAAAAACTATTCATACATATATATATTTGCACATATTAAATTTTAAAACGTGTATATTATGAACACTCATTTAATATTTTAAAGTAAAAAGAAGCAAAGAAGTAGAAACGTGCTTATTTTCTTTCAATCGAATCTTTCGATTTGATTCTATAACAGCTATTTTATTATTAGAAAATTAAATCAAATTAATTATATCTGTGAGAAATATAATTCCTACAAAGAATTTCTTATAAATCAGTAAACAAGAAGTGCTTGAACGAAATTAAAAATTCTTTAAAAACAAATTAAAACTGACTTCAAAACCCGTCCCCATACTCCGTATTACTTCTGAATATGAATTAAATGAACAATATTCTTGTTATGAATAACAATAATTACTTAATATTGTGCAGAAATACATTGTTATTGCAATTTCGAATTTAAATTTCAAATATTTGCAAGCTTTCATTTCAAATATTTAATAAAAATAAATTTCTACATTTATTTTAACTTTAACAGCAAATCGATGTTTTATAATAAATTTTGTTTACTCTTGTATTTCTCATTGTAATGCACTCTCTTTTTTTATATAAATTATAAATTATAATTTAACATATTATATTTTGTCTGAAAGAAACCAGTGAATCAAATAGGTGTTCATAATATGACTCTTAACATAATAACGAATCTATTGCCCAAAAAAAAAAAAAAAAAACAAAAATAATATTATTAAAAAGTAATTTGAAAATTTATTTAATTAAAGAATTTGTTTTTAAATTTATGTAATTGACTTAGTTAACTCAAAGATGAATTTTCAACTCCAGCTTAAATTTTATAAATTATAATAATTAAATATTTAGATTTTTTTTTCTTTTAATTACAGTTAGTAAAAATAATTACCATCTTTGAGTAACAAATACGCACAAATGAAATTTGAATAAAAGCAAATAATTTAACTGATCAAAATAACAATTAATGGACAAAGTAAATATTAATAATCAAAAAACAAAAAAAAACAAAATTAATTAATAATAAATTTTGTGCCATTCAATAAAGTACATAATTAATTACAATAAAAACATAATGCTTAAATGTTTTTATGTGATCGAATATATTAAAGAAAACAAAAAATTAAATATTATATGGCTATATTAAGGTGTAAATGTAAAAATTTACCCATAATATGTAAATTTAAATATATGGAATTAATATTTTTAAGAATATTGTTATAATTTTTTTATTAATTATTGTATAAGAAAGATTTTCTTCTCTTCTGTTTCTTTTTTAATTTCTATAATTTGAATAACATGCATTTGTGTCTAAAGGATTCATATTTAATTTTATGGGAACGCATTTAATATACAAGAGCAATTACAAATAAAAATTTTAATTAATTATTTTTATAATTTAAATATTAATATAAATAAAAATTACATGACTGAATTTTAGAATGGTAATAAATGCTTAAAATTTAATTCTAATTAAAATTTTTAACAAGAAATTGAATTTTATGGAATACAATTGAATTATAATGTTTAAAGTTCTTTTAAATTCATATTTCAAAATTGATAAATTTATTTAATAAGATTGTATAGCAACAATTCCGGATATTTAAAATTAATTCCGAATATTTAAAATTAATTCTGAATATTTAAAATTACATATAGTCATAATTATATATATTTTACTTTATAAACCATATAATATTGAAAAAAAAAAATAAAAAACAATCGAAACTCTTGCAATATAAATAGGAAGCGGCACAATTTTAATTTTAGAAATCTTAGAATTTAAGTTTTAAAAAAAAATTTTCAAAATAATTTTTTTTTAACTTAGTTGTAGAGAAAACAAAAAAAATTAAAAATCAATAAAAAAAAACCTTTATTTAATGATAATAATTATCAATTATATTTGTGTATTATTTGATTAACAAAAAATTTTAATTTTTTTATTTTATTTTATTATTTTTTTTTTGTAGTTGATTTTTTAGTGTTGATTTTTATTAAAATAAAAGATACAAAATAATTTCATATAAGTTTTATAATATAAATATATATATAATTTTTTTTTTTGTAAAAAAATAAAAAAAAGGGAACGATTTAAATAATTGTGAATAATATTGATAAAAATAATTAATTGTAAAAAATATATATACATATATATACTTAGTATAGTTAAAAGGTAAATAAAATAAAATTAAAACAAAAACATAAAAAAAAAAAAGAAAAAAAATCGAAACAAATTTTATATTATATAAATATTATAACATTATAAAATTTTGCTATAATATAAAAATTTATTAACTTTATTTATAGCTAAAATAATGGGAAAAATTAATAATAATTAAAAAGTTAAAGCAAACAAAAAAAACAAAAATATAATAAAATTTAATTTGATGAAAAAAAGTAAATTATTGTGTTTGCTCTTATTATTGAGTCCCTGACAATCTGCACTTGTATATGGCGACTTTCATTTGTTTTATATACCGTATAGAATATACAATTTGATAACCTATATTCTTTAAATTGGAAAAAGGTGAAAGCTAGAGTTTAGCTATTTTTATTTAAATTTTGTCGATTTTTCAAATGAATTGCATTCTAGACAAACATAGGCTGAAATCGCGTTTGCAGTTCTATAATACAAATCTGTAACGGTAGCACGTTTTTGTAGTTTGCTGCAAAAAGTATTCCGTTTTTGGTGTCAAATCCGCAACATGAATTTTTTTCTGCTTTAATTATCATAACCTCAATAAGTAGAGAAGTCAATTTGTAAAAAATATAATAAGTATATCAAAATAATTTGATACCAGTATTTTTCTTGGCAGTGCTGCTTTAGTTTTAACTAATAAGACCTCTCGCAGTCAAGACTGCAAATGCGAATTTAATCATATTCTTATATCTTATTTATTTTATTAAATAAAATATATACGAGTACATACATACAGTGGCATGTTCGTATAATCATTTACTCTTATTTAAATATAAAATTTTTATATAAACAGGGGAATTTTTATGTATGTCGCATAAGATTTTAAAGATTATTTAGTTATATACAAACATTGTTGAAGACTCATTTTCTTTTTTTCTCAGCAGCTAAAAAATTTTTTGTTATCTGATGCATCTTCTTATTGCAAAATTTAATAATAGTATTCAGCAATTCTTTATTACTAAGAAGATATCTTACAATTTATCGGTTTTAATTTTTCTTTCGTTCTTAAATTTATAAGACTAACGATTATATGAAATTAATATTAATGTGGGATTAATACAAATTATTGTCACATACAACTAATTCAGCTTTTAAATACAGAATCTGATTTGAAATGCATACGAGCTAAAATCAGAAAGAATTTAGAAATGTTATCGTTTAACGTATTATACGTATATAGGTTAATTTTTTTTTATCCCACTTCGCTCGTAGGAGGAGCATAGGGCTGGTGTATGATTATTGTATATAACCATGAACCAGTTTCTGACGTCATTGAGTTTACTAGGTAGGTGACGAGCCTACCGTAGATTAATAAATTAACCCTATTGTTAGAAAACTGTTTATACGTTCCACATGATATAACCGAGAGTCTATCAAAAACACAAATTTCTTATATTTTTCCAAATTTATATCTTCAATTTATATGAACTTACAAGAACAGATTTTGATTTTTTCACTCAATAAATGAAAATTAATTTTTTACTATTTAAATTTCCATTTAAAAATGCATAAATTATTTGTTCAAAAGAATAAAATTTTATATTTTTCTGAAAAATACTGAAATAAAAAATTTCTAAACTCCTTTCTAGTAAAGATTTAAAATAAAATAGGAACACGATCCACAGCAAAAGAAGAAAGAAAAAAAAAACGAGAGAAAAACATAAATTTTTTATTGCAATAAAGAGAACAAAATATCGCCATTCTCATACCTTTTACTTTTCAAATAATATTAATACAGAAAAGAGCAAACGTAATTTTATACTCGTATATATATATACATATATACACACACACAAAACATCAATCATCATAATATTATTATAGTAAATGTACGTAGGTATAAGTTTGTATAATGAGAACACCTTTTCAAAATC